GTATACATCAATTAATTCAAAACTTTTCTTGTGTTCGACTTAGTTTTCTACTAATTCATCAAGAAATTATTCCTATGAAAATCAATTTATAAATTTAAAATTGATGATCTTAATAATCGCAACTTAAGAGCAATTACTTATTTCACTCTCTCTTATATAGGCAGGCGACTAGTGAGGATTTAAATCCTATTAGAGTTAAAACTCATATTTTTATTTGATTAAATTGTGACTTTCTTATAGATCATTGGTGAAAGATTAAGTCACCAAAATTGCTTAATCATCAACAAAAATTTCATCAACATGATTCATAGAGCATCGTTACTAGAATTATTAAACGATTCACGATAAAAGGATTGTGAATCCATCAAGTAAATCATCTCTAAATGATCAACAAATAAGTCATCATTGAAAAGAAAATGATTCATTGAGAGATGAGTTGTCACCTCCTAAGAGCATACCTGATGTGATGAAGAGCCTCCCTTGCTACACAGACTTGAGGATTAAGTTCCCTAAGATGTGTCTTGATAAGTTTTCATTATCATGAGTTAATAATTAATAAATAATATAATTTTAGCCTTAACTCATGATAAATATACTTATATTTGTGTTAAATTATAAAAAGTAGTTTTCAATTGGTTAATGTGATCTTTTGGCTAATTATGTGAACTTATATAGTTTTTATAATCTTATTTTTAAGATAAATGAGAAAAAAGAAAATAAAATAAAAAGATAGAAAAAGGGGAGAACTTGCTGACCAATTGGGCCCGCAAAAGGGTTGGAAGCACAATCGGGTGGAGCCATGAGTAAGGGCTCAAATGACTATAGACCAATGGGGGCACATGTGCGTCACTCTCCTTCCATGTCACTAGTGGCTAGTCAGGCGTGGGCCAAGGAGTGGTCGTATACACATGAGAAACGGCTTCTTGAATGTCATATTACTATATACTTGTCTCAACGTTTGGCATAAAAGTGATGTGGGACTAAACTAGCTGTCACACCTTTCTTGGAATATTTTTAAATTTTTTAATACCTAAAATACCCTTATTTATATAACAAGATACCATGATGACATCATTATATATGGGTATTCAAATACTTATTTTACTCTCTCATGCAGGTGGATAACTAGCACAAGTTTGAATCTTATTAGAGCTAAAACTCACATTTTTATCTAATTAAATCATGATTTTCCTATAGATCGTCGATGTAGAGATTAAGACATCAAAATTACTTAATCATTGGTAAAAATCTCGTCAACACGATTTGCAAAACATCATTACTATAATTATTGAATGATTCACGATAAAAAAATTACAAATCTATTGAATAAATCATCTCTGATTGATCAACAAACAAGTTGTTGTTTAGAAGAGAATGATCTATTGAGAGATGAGTTGTCACTTGCTGAGAGTGTACCAAATATAATGAAGAGCCTCCTCTTGCTATGTGGACTTGAGGATGAAGCTCCCTAAGACACACCCCATCCCCATCTATCTCATCTTTCTCAAGTGACAACCATTTCATTGATCTCTAGACTTTACAAGAAGATCTAAAAATTTTTCATCTCGTCCTTTTCTAAGCAGAGCTTTTGAGACTATGGACACTACATGACAATTCTTCCAAACACTCAGGATTTTAATACATCAGCGATGCATCATCGTCGTAATATCGAGACTCTCTTTTACTAGTTTTTAACTACTTTAACTTCCACCATCATTTTCTGAACTTTGAAAAGAGATCTATTGAATGTTGAGGTCGTCCATATTCAATAAGAGGTTTTGAGGCTGTGAACATCGTTTGATGATCCTCCTGAACACGGAATTTTGGCAATCACTATTGTGAGGTCAAAACTCTACATTTTCTACTTTCAACTAAATTTTTGATTTATTTAGTGATAATTTGTATGATGTCAAGTTTCTAAATTATTCTTTATTCAATTATGATTCTTTTGATTTTTATAGATCTTAATTTGATCAATTAAATTATTTATAATCACTTACATAAGAACCGTCAAACATAACTCTATTTCAGCCTTATTCGCATTCATCAGGTGCTGACATCATAATGTCCACACCCTTATTTTCCTTTTTCATGAATTTTAAATATATTTTAATTTCATTTCTTAGTTTAAAATTCATAAAAATCATATTATGATCAACTTAATTTTTTCACTATTTTTAGAACTTTTTGTGAATTATAATTGATATATTTTTTAGAAATACTTCTAAATATTTAAAAATTAGTATTTCTAATTTTATAAATTTAAAATTTAAATGATTTATTATTATACAATGACTAATTCACATCAACAAGAAAAAAAAGATTCAAAGATCTCAATCGTAAAACTAATATTCATTTGATTAGTGTACATGTTCTCCAATGTTATCTAGAGTTATTGCACATGAGAAATCTAGGCTAGAGGCTCAACAATACTTGGCTCAATGTGTTAAAGCATTCAAGGATGATTGAATCAAGCTTAGACCTAGAAGTAAAAGGCGGATCAATGAAGCTGGGCAGATTAGTTGACAAGTGGTGGAGAAGGCTATGCAACATCAAGAAGTCTTGAATCTAGAGGCCCATGATGTATAATTATGTCCATTGAAGACATATGTCAATTGAGTGAGTTACACCATGATGAAGTGTCATGGAGTGGCTGACTTGATCAGAGAAACAACAACAAGAAGCTGAAGAACTAGTGGAGGAGGCACTTGAGACATTGAAGATTCGCCCACTAGATCTATAGATCAGGATTAGTGGAAGATGAAATGACATTGGGAGGGGACATCGTCGAATTCATGTGGGAAGCCAAGAGGCAATGCATGGGGCATCAGGAGGTGGTGTAGGGTGCTAGGAAGCAACACGCAAGGCATTGGGAGGTGGCACAAGCAATGCACAAGGCACCTATAGTCAGTGTATAGGGCATTGGTGAGAGATGGTGCCATCAAGCACACAGATGCAGCGGCATGTTTGGCAGGCATGTAAGAAGGCTTTGGGCAAGCACCGGATGGGCACATAGGTGCGAGCAGCAAGAGATTGTATCGAGAGAGGATAAGGGATGTCAAGAGAGGAGGTGGAGTGACGGCTGTGGTGAAATCTTAGGACTCTTGATATCATGTTGACAAGAGGAAGAGAAAACCCTAAAATTGATGTCTTGAAGGAGAGGAGTACATGAGGTTATATAGAAGAAGGGAAGAAAGAGAAAGAGAAAAAGAAGTGGAAATCACAGAGGAAGATTAGGGATGTGGAGAGAATAAGTCCAAAATAGAGAATCGAGAATGGAGAATGATATGATCTTCACATCATCTTGAATTCTTTCCTTAGATTCATTTACATGAATGGACAATGAATCTAAAAAACAATCAATTATTAAAGATTTGATTTAGGATTTTACTCAAACTCATTTATCCACTCATCCCTAGTGTCAAAGGGGGAGAATCCCAATTTCAATCTATTTTCTATCCAATTTATTGATATTTTTTCATTCTTACTAACTTTAATTTCATTTAATAAATAGATTCATTTCTTTCATATTAAGAATCTCTTCATCAGCCACATCCTTAATGTCAAAAGAAAAATTTCAAATTTTAATCTATTTTAATTTCATTTTTAAATTATTTTTTGGTTGAAACGATCTTAAACCTGTTTATGATCCATAATCTCATTGTTTTATGCATTTGATGTCATCTAAATCTCCTAGATCTATCCTTCGTTTCTCTACTGGTGAGAGAGCCCACTGGTGGAGATATTTTCTTTCTCTTTGCAATCCCCTCTCTCCTCTCTCTTATCTCTTATTTTCTTACTATCTGAAATTACATGAATTAAATTTATTTTCTTGTTTTACTACATATTAAATAATTCAACAGTTACAATGCAATGGAAGAGCATCTGAGTTGATTAAGCACATAATATCTAGTTTACTCTCCCTAACCATTGTTTCTTTCATTATTTTCATTTTTTATTTTTATTTTTCACTTAGATTCAGATTTATATAGAGAATAAGTTTTTTTATAATCCTCATGAATTTACCTGAACTCACTGCATTTAATTGCTTTCTATTTTCAAATTTTTTCAGTTGATTTTTCTTTCTATTTTTCCTTCCGTTCGCCAAAGATATCGATTTTTTCAGTGATTTCTTTCACTCTAGCGGAAGAGTTCTGCCGGTGAGTTTGTCTCTCCTCCAGCATTTTTTCTCCCTTTTCCAACGATTTTTCTCTCCTTCCATATCTTCTTTTTTCCCTTATCTTCCCCTTTCAAGTGATTTTTATGTTTTTTCGTTTATTTTTCCTCTCCCTTCACCAGCAAATTCTCCCACCGGCGAAACCACCCTTCCGCGAACGATAACTCAGTCTCGTGCGTGATTTTGTCTTTAATTTATTTATCTCTTCCACTCTGTTTCTCACGTGTCATCTTTTACCAGTCAACTCCTTTTGACTGGTCGCCCCTCGCCTCTTCTACCGTCGCAACTCTCTCTCTCTCTCTATTTCTCATTCTCTCTCTGGTTTTCTCGCTCTCTCATCTGTGGGCATGGAAAGGTATCGTCCTACTAAGCCCGCTTCTATGGGAAGGAGGGCGTGATCGTCATCGAACAACCAAAGGTTCCCTCAACGCTCTCCCTCACACTCTCTCGACCATCCCTACTATTTTAAGTTCCGACAATTCACTGTTTGACCGGCTTCTATCAGCCACGCTCGCATAGTTCCCATTGGATGTTGTCCTATTGGGCAACACAAACTCCGCCGAGCCCAATGCCATATCCCCCCACGTCTGCGTTTGTGGATGGCGTGCATGGATCATATACGTATAATGACGTCATCAGTATCGTCTGTACGACCCACTGGATTCAATGGTAGAACTCGATTGGGCCGATTTCCGGCTGAGTGGGAATGCGCGTTAAGAATCATTTGGCAGTAAAAAAATTGAACTGGAACATTTTGAGGCAATAAGAGGGAGGAAGTGTAGGACGACGTCATACACGGAGTTCAAAAATTTCCGATTGGATGTTACCTCTTCTGGAAATTCAAGGTCTTGATGCTGAAGGCGAAGACGGAGGCGAAAAGCACGCTGAAGGCGACGACCGCGGTCGCCACCGCCCACAAGAAATCGTGTTCGAAGCCGAAGTAGTTCTTCAGGAACACGTCCACTGGCTCATCCTCGACGATCGTCGAGATGTCCCCCAACTGCGAGGTGATCAGGCCGTAGAGAGTCCACGCCACGGGGCAAGCCCAGTAGTACCACCTCCACCAGATGGGAATCCTCTGCGAACAAGAGAGAGAGAGAGACAGAGAGAGAAGCGTGAGCAAAAGAGTTCCCATGCAGTGAGGCCACGGAGAACGGGAGGAGGAGATGCTCACCGGTCGGGGGACCAAGAAACCGGAGAAGAGATTCCATATTCCGTAGAAAGCGGCGGAAACGATGGCAGCGACGTTGTGGTTGGGGGTCATCCCCACGGCCATCATCCCGTAGAAGGTGAAGTAGAGGAAGGTAAAGTACATGAAGAAGATGTACCAGCAGAACTTCGCCACCGTCCACTCGAACCCGATCATGGCGTAGACAATGACCCCGTACACCAGGGACTGAAGGAGGATGTACGGCATCTCTATTGCCACCTGCGAGATCTCCCATGGAGGTGGTGAGGAACGAAGGGCTCCACACCGGCAAGGAGGAAAGGATATTGAAAGGTTTTTTGGATCTGAGAGTTCACCTGGCCAAACGCGTACGGGAAAGCCGAGTACATCCCGGCAGCTCTCTCCCGGTAGAAGACCGTTCTTTCGACTGAGACAACCGGCTGAACTGTCTGGCTGTTTTGCACCCCTATGAACAGAACTGCACAGTACATGGAGCCCATGGCGTTGAACAGATCCTGCTTCTTTTCCCTGAAACCAAACATTTTCACGACTTGAATCATGCTCCAAGAACAGAAGAACACCTGAAAATTCATTACATCGAAACAATCGAGTCCAACCATGCAAAAATCGTGCTGTAATTTAAGATCGATCGATACAAGTAAATCCCACTGCCGACTAATTTCGACTTCTTTGCCTCCCAAAATTTAACGGCATATCCGCACATATCAAAGCATGTAAGTAGGTCAGATTAGGTTACCTTCGGGATCCCAAGTCCCAGAAGATTGAGCCGAACAGCAGCGCAATGATGGTCGTGAAGAAAAGCCTCATGGCAGTGTAAGAAGGATTCCGCCAGTATGACAGGTGTTGCTTCCACAGGCAAGCCATGCACTGCGTGAAGAAGGATCGTGAATACAGCGTGGGGAAGTCGAGGTCTCTCGAGCCGGGAGCAGGCACGCTCAGCTCCCTAATCAGGGTCTTGTTCCTCCTGCCATTGGCATCAACAGGTTATAATGCCGTAGAACCAAGTCGGTTCACGTATGCTTTAATCGATCGTTATCCTACGATTCCATCGGAAAAGGAAATTGGAGATCTATGATCTACTCACTGGTAAAGCTCCGAGTTCTTATATAACTCGCTGAAACTGACACCAAGAAGGTCTTCTTGTCCTAGACTCGTCACCTCCAACATCCATGTCGCAGGGTTGTAACCGTCTTTGATCATGCTAACTCCTCGGATACCCTGCGAAAGATAATGTCACAGACATGTCAATAAAACCGTTTTTTCAAGGAAGCCGCATGACCCCAAAGAGTGGGGGAACGGAAGCTGTTATCACCGAAACCTCACCTCGAAGTACTTGATCAACTCGCAAGATTGGCGTCCCAACGGACCGACGTATATCTCTTCTCCCCCCCGCTTCATCAGAAACAGCTGCAGGCAAACGGACAGCATGAAGTCTAAAGAGAGAATCCGCGAGCAATTTCAGAAGAATGCCAAAAGAAGTCTTGTTACCTCATCAAAAGCTTCGAATATGTCTATGCTGGGCTGATGAATTGTGCACACGACTGTCCTTCCGGTGTCAACCGTGTTCCTCACCGTTCTCATGACGATGGCGGCCGCCCTAGCATCAAGGCCAGAGGTGGGCTCGTCCATGAATATTATGGACGGGTTGGCGACGAGCTCGACCGCGATAGTCAGCCTCTTCCTCTGCTCCGTCGAGAGGCCATTGACGCCGGGCAGCCCAACGAGCGCTCCCCTCAACTGTGTCAGCTCCACGAGCTCCATGATCTCTTCGCAGAACATCTGCCCACCCACCCGATGGTTGCAGGAGCGAGGTTATCACCACGATTCCACAATACAACCGCGAACATACGTATCTCAAACTTATCATCCTACCTTTCTCGTCTTGGAGTCGACCTCGGCTGGTAGACGCAGCCAGGCAGAGTACAGGAGCGACTCGTAGATGGTGACGTGTGGCGAGTGGATGTCGTTCTGCTCACAGTAACCAGATATGCGAGCGAACGTCTCCTGCTTCTTGGGGTACCCGGATATGGTTATGCTCCCTTCGATATATCCTCCCGTCTTTCTCCCAGACAGCACGTCCATCAACGTCGTCTTTCCGGCGCCGCTGACTCCCATCAGAGCTGTGAGAACTCCTGGTCGGAAGGATCCGCTCACGCCCTTCAGAAGCTCCAATCTGTCCTCTACAACCCCTTCCGCTTTCATTTCCTGCGAGGAACATCAATCAAAATGTTTCATCTCTCTCTTCACTTGTGTGAATATTCTTACATAACTCGTCAATGAATGTGCTTATATATAGAACGAGGTTTACCGCTGGCATGTCAACCGAATATCTGATGTTCTCAAACTCCATGGAAAGAGGGACGAAAGGAAGAACCATCCCTTTCCTATCCGGATTCAAGCTGCCGGCTCTCTTGGGAGCCGATGCCTTATCCTCACTCTTCCCTGCGCGCAGAGAAATCTCAAAGCTCGATCAGAGGTGACAACAGAAGGCGGAAAAAAGGACCTACACGGGGCATCGGGCGAATGGTTGGTTACCTCGGAATTGCTTTCCTCTGGATGACAGTTCAAGCGATTGCCCAGTCAAGTTCTCGTGCTTCTCATTCAGTGACTCTTCAGATACGGTCGCCTGACCATTTCCGAGTGCTGAAAGAATTAGACGCAGAGAAACATGAGCAGGAATTCTGAACATGGACGGACAGATTTAATGTATGAGGACGAGCTGGCTCGTTAAAATTCCGAATGGAGGAGGGAACCCACGATTGAGATACTGGAGAGCCAGAGTGATCAAGAAGTTGAACAGCAGGATGTATCCAGCGAGTGCCCCCACTCCAATCCAATACCATTTTGGTTCGGTGAAGACGCTGCGGGACCTCAAGACTAGGATTCCAAGCGGCTCTGTGGTTCCCGGGAGAATCTGTGCAATTTATATTATTTAAAACACGGTCATTAGCTCCCCCTGACCAAAGGGTAGACCAGTGGAAAATATTCTGGTCATCAAAGTTAAAGCCAGGTGAGATTAGTTTATGTTTCAGATACAAAATCCCCGATTTGATCGAGAAAAATTCTACCCAGTAACCTGATGTGAACATCAGAGGTGAGTTGCCCGCCAGATGGGGCCTTCCAACAGCGCTGGAATAAACCCGTGTTCATTGATTCAAAATAAACCCAATAGTATATTAAATGTAATTTGCTCAAGTTGAAGATCAGGTCATGTAATAACGCGGTCTTAAATTAATTAGCAATGAGAAGAGCTAAACTTCATCTATCGTAGTTCCAAGGTCAATGCATCACACAAAATTAGGCACAATCATGGCAACTCTAGTACCACTCACCGTGCTCCAGCTTTTGCCGAGAAATTCATTGACGAAGACCCCGTACTGTGCGTACATCATAGGAGAGACCCACATCCCCCATTTCCACCATTTCTTCACATTCTCTGCAGGAGGAAAGAGAATCAGGTCATCATCTATTTGGGTGGACGAGTTCTAGACGAAGCTGTTGATCTACGCTGTTCGTCGGATCCTACCTTGCGCAAGAACGAACCCGCCCAGCACCATCACGACGAGCAGTGCGAAAGTTCCGAACGTGTTAGCGACCACCATGCTCCTGCCCAGCGCACCCACCAGCCGGAACAGACCGTTCGCCATCTGGCTCGTCAGAAGAAGCAGAAGGTATTGCTTAAATAATCTGCATAGAAGAAGGGAATTCCCAGGTCAACGTCGCCATGGTCGGTGTGCCAAACTCTTGGTGTTCAAAATCCAATAGGGCCTTCACCTTGCAGCGCTCGGATCGAATCCGATGACGTAGTAGCTCACGAACTCCCAGACTGCAACTTCTACGAAGGTTATGGGAATCTTCAGCACCCACGACGGCAGGGCATAGACCCATGCGGGATAGAACAGAAGGTCTCTCTGCTTGTAGAAAACTGGGAGTTTGGCTATGGTCATGGCGAGGTCCGCAAACCCATTGAACATGACGACGACGACGGAGAAGAAGAGTGCTCCCATGAAGATGTTTCCATCGGCCACCGAGTCCCGGGGCATCTTCGTCCTCAGGAAAACCGTCATAGCGAAGAAGCTCAATAGGAGAAGCTGAGTTCAGTAGGAGATTGGATTAGACAACTGGAGGTCCAGGAGGGGGAGTACCAGTCAAGGAGGAGAACCAGTACCTGGAAGGACCTGAAAACGTAGACGAAGGAATTCCGCTTCATGAGAAGCAGCTCTCTCTCGATGCAAGCCTTCAGTAGCTCCTTCTTGCTGACGCCGTATTTGGACGTGGTCAGAGCCGCAGGGTGGCTCTTGGTCCTGTCGAACGGCACCGCGAGCTCCTTTGTCATATCCTTCCCCACATGGAAGGCCTTAAAGGACTCGGTGAAGTCGTTCACTGGCACGAATCGGTAAGGCTCCCCGTGGCGGGCCCAGTACTGCCCTTGGTCCTTTCTCGACGTCACCTGGAGAAGATTTTCAAGATAAAATTTCGAACTTTGCCTTCCGAGAAGATCATCGGAAAGTTTTCACGGAAACAGGGGAGACGCTGACCTCTTGAAGGAAGTCGGCGATGCCCTTCCTCTCAGGGCACTTGAAGCCCATGAACTCGAAGAACTCGAGGACATCCTCGCGGGGGCCTTGGTAGACGATCTGCCCATCGGAGAGGAGGATGATGTCGTCGAAGAGGTCGTACGTCTCCGGCGCCGGCTGGAGCAGCGAGATGAGGGCAGTTCCCCCGAGGATGTGGATTGACTGCCTCAGAGCCTTTACGATCTGGAAGGTGGTCGAGCTATCCAGACCGGTCGATATCTCGTCCATGAACAGAGCTCTCGCGGGTCCAACCATCATCTCCCCTGCGATGGTTCAGCGGAGGCTTCTTTAATAGGGAGAAGTAGAATGAAAGAAGGATCTTCAGAACTCTCTCTCTCTCTCTCTCTCTCTCTCTCTATCTATCTATCTACTTATCTACCTCTCTCTCTCTCTCTCTATCTACTTATCTATCTCTCTCTTTTGATCTCTCGCTCTCTACCTGTGGTGACGCGCTTCCTTTGGCCGCCGGAGACGCCCCTCACCATCTCATCACCCACCATGGTGTCAGCACAGATGTCCAACCCTAGGATCTGCAGGAGGAAGATTCGTATTGAATAAGAAGCGAGGAGTCAACGATGAAACTGAGAAAGTTGCAAAGGTAATCGGAGGCCTGCCTTGAGGATGTAGTCTGTCACTACGCTGGCTTGTTGGCCTTCCATTGCAGCGGACTGTATTTGGAAAGAGGACCGTCAGTGGCCTCACAAATGGAATTTTAGAGAGAGCAATCTTAGCGAAGAGTTCTTACCTTCATGAAGACGTCGATGTCAGCATCTGGCTTGATGTTGGCCTCCTTCTCTCTTCTCGACAACTCCGACAGCATCTCTGCGATCGCAGTAGGAAATTATTCACTGCGTAATCTATGGGAATTCATTCGGGCAAAAACCAGGTGGAACAGAGCTCACCGTAGCGCGTTCCTACGCCTTGACATCTAGCAGAGAAGGCCAGTGTTTCCCGAACAGTCATCTCCCCGATGTGGAGATCATACTGACTGATGTAGGCGGCTGTTCTTTCCGGGACGAACTCGTCCAATCCGTGTCCATTGTAGGTTATGTTCCCCGAAACCTTCTCACACCAAAAAACGCGAAGTTCGAGAATCAACCGAGAGATCGGAGGAAGAAGATGATGAAGATGGAGAACAAGAACAAGAAGAAACCTTGATGTCTGAGCCCAGCTTCCCAGCGAGGGCCAGCAAAAGGGACGTTTTCCCCGATCCCGGGGGACCCAAAAGCAGAGTCATCCTGGAGAACAGTGAAGACAGAGATTAAGGGGAATTCTGAAAGCCATGGGCCGTGGGAGCGAGCAAACTCGATCATTCTCATCTTCCATACCTGCGAGGTTTGATGATGCCGCTAACATTATGAAGGATGGAGATAGGTTGCTTCCTGCTGGGCAGGATGCGGAGAGCGCCCGCCGCGACCTTAAAAAAAACTCAGCTGTTCGAATCAGGCCCGCAAGGGGAAACCAGGTCACCTTGTTGGATCCTTCGCGAAAAGCTCTACCTCCAGGATGTTCATAGCGGAGTTGAGGACGGTGGGCAGCGCTCTACCCCCGACGTGAGCCTCCGCCACGATCTTGAGGTCCTCGAAACGCACTTCGATCGTAGGAAGGTCGAGGCCCACTCTGACATGAACCAGAGGGGGAAAAAAAAAACTCAAGACTTCCGCCAAAAATTTCCTAGCGGAGATGATTCCAGGCTATGACGGGAATCAGAAACTGTTAGAAGACAGGATGATATTTTATACATTACTTACCGATCAATGCGATTCCTGAGCTTCAACAGGAAACTTTCGTTGTCCTCGTCGGCAATCCTGACCAGCCTCTCGAGCAGGGTCTTCCTCTCCTGGTTCCCTAGGTCCTTAATCTCGATCTCCCTGTGCCCGCCTTCGGCGCCGATGAGGATGCCCTTCCTTATGCGGCTGTAGGTGGGGAGCTTCTCCAAGGCCGCCCATTTCAGCGCCTCCTCGTCGTCCTCTTCCCTGGACGATCTTGAGAACACGTCCTCGGAGTCCCTCCAGCTGTTCCGTCTCAGGCTCCCGACTCTGTATATGCTGCCCGTATCCATCTCTGCGGAGCAGAAGATGGAGGAGAGGGCCTCGGAAGCCGCTGCAGCAGCTGCAGTTGTTCCTGAGCCGTCGGCCTCACCCTGCTGGTTCGATGGAGAGAATGCGGCTTGGTTCAATGTGAAGGAAGCAAACACGTCGAGGATCACCACGGGGGGTTTTCGCCGGGTTCCCTTCTGGTGACTTCTTCAATCGACTAGAGAGAGAGAGAGAGAGGATGCAGGGAATTGATCCCTCTCTTTTCTTTTCCAAGAGATCTGTCTCTTTTCTTATAAGTGCGAGGAAGAGAAGTTCCAAAGAAAATGCAAAAAGTTGGGACCAGCATTAAATTTCAGACGGGTGGCAAAACTACGTAAGCAGTGGCGTTTCTTCCCGCCGGTATCTCTCTCTCTCCATCTTCTGCCAGGCAGCCCCACCACATCAGAGACGTTGCAGAATCACATTCCGGAGATTCATCAACCGATGGATAGCTCTCTCTCTCTCTCTCTCTCTCTCTCTCTCCCTCTCTCGCTAAATCATCCGTTCTTATTTGACTCCCCCGGCGGAGAAGACGATGGTGGCGTCAGGAAGGCACCGAAGCCGCCACCCTCGTGGCGTTTGCAATGACGACGGTCCACTAGTGCGTTGAACAGTTAAGCGGCGGCTCCGAGCCCACGTTGAGAAATAATATAACAGACACTCGGCAGCCACGTGTTTCGTGATGCCTCGATGACGTTGACTTTAAGCTAGCGAGATGAAGGGTCGACAGGACCTTCTGGAGCGACGATGTCTCTCTCACTCTCTTGAAGGGTCGAGAAGACCTTCTGGAGCGACACGTATCCTCTCTCTCAAAAGTTAATTGGTCCGAACTTTCTTGGTCAAATAAAAAAAAAAATTCTAATGCCGTCAGGGGCCAGTTATTGAAAGGTCAACTTCTAGAACTGCTGAGGCGAGAGCCCTGTGAAGTCAAGTTCTAGAAACGGACGTGTCCCCCTGAGCTAAATTTCTGAGCCAACCTCTCCTCCCACGTCTCCGGACCAATTTTTTGGGGTTGCATTCACCATCCGTTGGATCCCCGTCCGGCTGGTTGAATGGCTCAGATGATTTAATCTCATCGGCTTCCGCTAGGTCGGAGTGAGAGAGAGAGAGAGAGCGAGAGAGAGAGAGAGTCCGCATGTGTTTGGAATGCGCTCTTGGGGCCGGAAGCGATTCGAGGACGGCACGGACCGTTGCCTGCTCTGGACCACAACGCAACGTGGAGGACAAGGCAGAGTAGACTAGTCACATCCTGCCTTACCAGCGAGCCCCAGTGTTTGAAGGATGTACTCAATTTGAGCCTATTTTCTGTTCTGTGCTTGATTTTAGGACCCAAATACCGAAGAAGAAAACGAAGCTTGGTCAAGCCCTCGCAGAGACCAGCGACTGGAAAAGCCCTCTCCGGCGTTCACGAGCCCACCAAGTCGATCTCACCAGGAATAAATTCTGTCGGAGAATGAGATCTCTATTATACTGCATATATAATTATATTTGTATAAGACCCTACTGGTCTCGGGTGAATCGGATCCCTATGGGTCAGTATCCAACGGCTCTCTCGCCGCCGCCGGCGCTTTCTCCGGCGACCTTCAACCAGAGCGGCTTCGGCAAATTCTAAATAATCAACCCATGGGAACAAGAAATCCGAGACTCTGCGGATGGGAGGGTCCTCGCCATTCATCCCATGGGGGTATAATCGTCAATTCCAGTTCATATTTGGCATAATGGGTGACTGCCAAGTGGACACTGGTGCTTCTTCCACTCTCCTACTCAGAGTGTAGAAGAATGAAGGCCTATCTACAGCCGGGCCCTGTTCTCGACGGCCACCTGGATTCTGCCGATGAAGTCCCCGAGGGCCATGTTGCCGAGCTCCCCGGAGAAGCGGGACCTGACGGTGACGGTGCGGGTCTCGACCTCCTTGGGCCCAACCACCACCATCAGTGGCACCTTCTGCTTCTCCGCGTTCCTTATGAGCTTCTGCAGCCGCCTGGCAGAGCTCAGCTCTCACCCCAGATGATTTCAGCTGTGAGAGCGCCTCGTTGCAGTAATCAACCTCAAATGCCTGCGCAAGTGAGCGGTCAGATATCGCCGATCCTAGACCCATGCTCAAAAGATGCCTTGAATTGTGATGTGTGTCCAAATCATAGAGCCGGTTTTGATGATATGGATTCAAGAAAATAGCATGATTATGTGTTATTGTGTGTTCTGTCGAGGATCGCCGAGGCCGATAATGTTTGGACCAGAAGCCGGAAGGTAATTTTTCTAGTCTTCCGATCTGCCAGACACTTCACCGGCATATCCCCTGAATCATGGCCACAGGAAAAAAACCTTGTCACTGGCTCCCTATTGCGTTGTTCACGGCGTGCCGAAGAGCATCGATAGAGCGAAGGCAGGTAAATACTATGCATGGGGGTGGCGATTAGAGGAGAGAAGAAGACACCTCGTCGTCGGTGACGGGGAGAATGCGGGCTTGGGTGGGAGAAAGCCAAAGGGGGAAGTCTCCTGCGTAGTGCCCGATCAGGACTCCGAAAAATTTTTCCAACGACCCCAGGATGGCTCTGTGGATCATGATCGGCCTCCTTTTCTCGGAGTTTGAATCGACGTACGAAATGCAAACCGGTTCGACAGATTGAAAGCTACCTGTAATAAGTCGACAGAATTCGAAAACAAGAAAATCGTCAGCAAAAACGACGGGGATTTCAATCGAGATTTCAATCTTCTTCCACATGATTGATGGTTAAAAGCAAGAAATCTGGCACTTTTACACAATAAGCAGGGAGCTAAATTACAGCCTTTATTTCTCTATGAAGTAAAAGATGAGGGCTTATCAGTAGTCAATCTGCGGACATATATGTACCGGCATTTCCATAAAAACTGTCTACTGCAGCTAGGAAGGGAAAATATATACCCACATTTTCGTATCCAGACGTTCTAGTTTTTGATAGCTTTTCAAGCCACTCCCCCCCCCCTCCATTCTTCCTCACAGCACAGCTTTTAGTCCAGTTTTAATAAAAGTTAAGTTACTCAGCCGAAGCCAAGTTTCAATATTTTGCAACATAAGATGATTTATTAGCTTGTGCCTTTTACTATGCTAAAACAAAAAGAAGAACCCCGGACTCAAGAAGCAATAATGCCCATCCCAAACGAATCTTTCCACACTCTGAATATGTCCTTTTGTTGACAGTATAAGCCTGAATATGTGCAAACGACCATCTTTAGAAAAAACTTTTATTCGGCCTCTCGTAGTTTATCAAGCCAAGCTTTGTAATTCTGCCTTTTGCACTCATGACTATCATTCTGAATGAATCCCAACAACAGATGGAACATAAAAGACTAGGACATATAACTATGGGGAAGGCACTAATCATTTGAAATAGTGTACACTTGGAATGTACTATAATTAAATCAAAGTGGAAAAAAAATAATAGTGTCACAACCTAGTAAAAGCACAAAACTGTACTATGATAATGAAACCATATTTTTAAAAAAAATAATGAGCCATTATTAATTTGTCTTACTCTGAGCTCAAAATTGCACTAGAAAAAGTATCTAGAAGAAATAAACATAGAAGAAAACGTCAAACATACAAGATGATGTTCAGTCATTAAATAGTACCATATACAACTGCTATATGATCAAAAGAAATGAAGTCAAGAATCCAAGATGACAGCTCATCAATGGAGATATGAGATGTTTGAGAACGACCTTGTCTGAATGAGATGCAACTGTCGATGAGACCTAAGTGGCATGAGACTAGAGGATCTGAATTTACTCCTCATCTAATAATATGATCTGGTGAGTTACTCTATTCTCTTCCTCCTCTCCTAAAGCAGCTAGATTAGCACAACTGTCGATGAGACCTAAGTGGCATGAGAATGGAGGATCTCAATTTACTCCTCATCTAATAATATGATCTGGTGAGTAACTCTATTCTCTCCCTCCTCTCCTAAAGCAGCTAGATTAGCTACTCTATGAGGATGTCTATGTAAGTAGTAGCATGTATATTTAGTGTGACACCTTCTTCCATAAAGGGGGCACTTAGAACTCTAATGCCCACCAGTGCTTCTACCTCCACTTATCACTTGACCAATATGACCGCTTGTCTATGATTATGTGAGGTCTTCACAACTGCCTGAATAAACATTAAGAGAGTGATCTCACTAGTTGTTGAAGTAGTTCATGTACATTTCTGGACTAGAAAAGCCCAAAAGATATGCTCATACATCTCAACAAGTTAACTCTGCTCGAGACGTAATCTTATTACAAACGTCATCATATTTCAGGTGAAGTCTTCCAAGAAACTTCAGAACATTTATTTGGTCACTTTGTTCCTACACTACCTTAACATCACTTGAGATAGGTAATAAACTATAAAGATCATTATTGAGTTGGTCACTTCATGAAAATACTAACTCAAGCTCTTATCTCCTTACTTCAAATCATAATATTCAATGGTCAAATCATACATCCTTGAAATATTATTAGAATACATAAGAACAAGGTGGTCCTAAAAAAGTTTTATAAGTCCCTTGTAAAATCTTCTTGTCTACATCTTGTTGTCTCTATTGTTCCAATATGGCTGAATCTCAAGGGGGTTCATCCATATAGTGCTTGGTCTTATCTTCACCTCAAAAATTCATCTTGATAAAGCTACTCCACTAATGATAGTTCTTTTCATTAACTTTTGAGATCTATTGATATGATTCTTGACTATCATTGTTGATTCGGAGCTATAAAATATTTTCATTCATCAACCAACATTGTGAAAATAGTTGACGTTTGACTATAACTATTAACTTTGATCATTGACCATCTATTGATCTATTGATATTAATTATTAATTGTTGACTACTAACTACCTCATGACTCCTATGGGGGGAGTACTGTGATATCACTTTGGTCATTGTAAACAAAATGATCAAATAGTAAATATTCATAATATCAATTCAAAATAAGAATTAATAAAAACTAGTGAATTCAGGTCATCCACAAAGATGGTCAATCTTCGTATGAATTTCTATTCTTCAAAATAATTTATTGAAATAAAAATAAATAATAAATAAAGAAAATAATATTCTCCACACATTAAATCTTCAAATTGTTTGAACTCTAAATCTTTGAATTTTTCTATTTTCCAACATTCATAATTGATCATTAACTCAAGATGTGTA